AGGCAATTGCACGAGCATTTTCAGCGTTACAAGGATGCCCCACACCAGAAGGCCAATAGATACAGTACAACTCACACATGCAGTCTGCAGGAATACAGTGAGTACTACGCTGGCTCGGGGGAAGCAGGCCAGCATCTAGACTGGGACACCAGAGATTTTTGTGCAGGGCAGCGAGAAGGATCATGGTTATACTGGTTATACTGCACTGAAGAAGCACAGGCGAACCGTCCAGCCAGCGAGAGATCGTTATTAAAAAAAATAATAATAATTCTTCCATCTCTGTGAGAAAGTGTCAGTAATTTTTCTTTATGGGAACAGTTTTTCACACAGCCCTAAAGCCTAGAATTAGATACTGTCCGCGTCTGGTTCTAATTTATTTTACTACTGAAAGCCATGGAGCAATCCAAAATAGCCGCTCGGTATTACGAAGGACATTTTTCAAGTGGTTCTTCAAGTAACGTTATACACCTATTGACTACATATAATCATAAAGTGCTTCACAGCTATAATATAAAAATTATACATGATTCTCAAAACTCAGCACCAAACATTAGATCTTTTTGGGGAGAGTCAGTCCACAAAACTGTCTCCAAATACTTCGACAGCTGAAGAATTTTCCAGTCACCAGTGCCGGGTGTGTTTTTTTGCTGCTTCTCAAGCAGTTTGGCCAAGAGCAAATACAATGTTGGCATCATATCTGATGCCGCTTCTACACTGTAGAGATCAGATCCTGCCTATTCCCTGAACTAAGAGAATGAGGAGCGGAGCCGTAGGAAGGTACAGTGCCCCACAAAGGTGCATTTAGCAGATCAGCCACATTAAATTAAATCCTAGTCAAAGGTATTCACCTCCATTCAGATCTCTGCTGGGGAATACAACTGACATTAGCCAATATCCCGCGCAACTAGGCTGTGGCCCCTCTGAAACCGATGGCTTATGTTACTGATTAATGCTCTGAATTTTTGCTCAAAGATATTTGGTGTCCCTGGAGCTGTTCAGCTAATCACGTGGGTGATGCCCAAAAAATTGGTGCGTGTATAAACCTAACTATGGACTCAAGGCCCTGGGCTGTGGGCAGTAAGAGGGAGGGTGAGATAACTAGCTCCAGGATCACAGTCCTTTGCAGTGGAACCGTGTGCAGCCGTTGGGGCACAAATAGTGCAAGTTAGAAACTCTTAAGCCCGCTCCTAGCTCACTCAGACTGACTGAGCAGCCCTCCAATGATTAGAAATTAGCTGAAGTTGATTAAGTCCTATGACCCCAGCTGACTTCCTGCCCTTTGGGCGGGGGGCTGGACTCGATGATCTTCTGAGGTCCCTTCCAGCCCTAATGTCTATGAAATCTATGAAATCTATAAAGTGCTTCCATGTGATTTGCTTAATCCTCTGTCTGTGCGACCCAGTGGCTGAAATGCCAGATGGATGCCGAAGTCCCCACCATCGCCAGCATCACAAAGGTGGGAGACCTCAAAAGAAACAGAAAACAGAAAAACCCAGTTTCCCCAATCCATTAGCTTGCCTGCTGCTAGGAACTATGAAGTTATCAGACTGAAAGTGAATCTGTTCTGAGTTATTTTAATCAACGATTTTTTTTTTGCAGTAGTGACAAGTCACATTTGCTACACGACCCCAGTCAGCTTTCCTTCTGGTTCTCAGGAGCGGCCTCAGCTGTTTCTTTCATGTCCACCAACATTGTGTTCAACGTGTTAGCGAGTTCATAATAGAGTCCTTGCAGCCTACAACAGGAAGGAGACAGCATAGCGTAAATACCCCACTACCACACCGGCGTGCCCAAAATGATGAAAGACGGGTATGCAGAACTCCAGCCTCCCCAAGCAATCTCACTGTTCATTTAACAAGACAAAGAGTGATGAACGTCAGCTATTTTGTATGAGACTGGGTCCCCCTTCTGTGCAGATTTTGCTTTAAGTCATTTGTAGTATTTTTCCCTAAACAACAAAAATGACAAGGCTCAATGGACTGGCTCAACACGCTGTTCCCAGTGCTGGAACAGATCCATTCACCCAGCAATGTTTTGAGCAGGTGACATTTGAGTAATAGGACAGGTCTAATGAAACCAGACCAGGTCCTTTGGGGAGCTGGCCACAAACCGATTTTCAAAACAATGCTAGTAGGACAACGGTCACTGGATCCCCCCGCTTCTGCAGGGCTCCTCTGGTGGTAGGCAGAATCGGAGTTGTTGGGTGCTTAGAAAGGGCATGAACCCTTTTGGGCGTCACACTCACAGAACGGGTGAAAATGTTGCAGGATTCCTGATCTAGAGTCCTTTAAACAGAGCAAAGACCAAGCCTGGATCAGATACCAGCTCTGCATTACGGTTAAGCAGACTTATGCAAAACTCAGCAGGCTCAGTTCCCTTGGGATTTGTGGGAGCGGGGTTTCTTTGACATCAGGAGGGGTCACTTTCCCCTTGGACAGGGTTGTAAATGGCCACCATCGGGGATGCTGCTCGGGTTGAGCCACTGCTCCAGGCCACCATGGCCATTTCTCATGCTGCTGAGTTCCAGATTTGTCCCAAAAAAACCCCCCAAACACTTCAAAGTGGCATTCACCTGAAGCTTGGCAGCTTTGCCTGATTTGGGGCTGAAAGAAATAGAGCCACTCACAATTTTTTTCTCAAGAGCATAAATCCAAGAAGGTCTATAGGCTCCAAATGGAGCCCAGATTTAGAGAACAACTGGAAAATATCCATTTAAGCAGGAGTTGTTATATGTGACTGGGGATGAGGGATGTCCCAGCAACTGGGCCCTGGTCTTGGACTGGGGAGAGCTGGGTGCAAGTCCCTTCCCTACTTCAAATGCCCAATGTGGCCTCACAAGTCATTTAGCCACTCAGCTAAACCAAGCCACTCCCTCCCCTATCTGTGAAATGGGGATAATAGCATTTCCTTGCCTCACAGGGCTGGTGTGAGGATAAGTGCTACAGCCAGGTAGAGAATGGAAAGTCCATTTCAGGAAGATTTGATTTCATTCCAGTTTGGCAACAACACTTTGGAAATATCCCATATTCATGCAGTGGAATAACCATTCTTCATCCAGCGATATGGGGAGCCTGGTTCTGGGACAGTTTGCCAGGGACCCTGGCTGTCCTGGGTCCAAAGCAATCCAGCTGCTTAGCCTCCCAGAGCCAGAGACCCTGGAAGCTGTGGGCTTTGGTGGCTGCAAAGCTGGGAGCCTGGAAGCCTGAGCTTCCCATCAGATTCCCTTTCTATAAACTAATACATATCTGGAGTAAAATCCTGTATTGCTCTGAGACGGTTCAACCCAAGTCTAAGTTAGCATTTTCTGTTGAATTTCACAGGCTGGTTGATCTATCCCAGTGGTTCTCAACATTTTGAGACTCAAGGTATCCCTCAGAAAGTGCCATCCCTTAACTTTCAGTCATTTTTTGACTACAGAAAAAATCACAGAGCAATGCTTCTGCTGCAAAGAATTCAGAAAGGCTACCCCAGAGCACACCGTGGATTCCTATTCGAGATGTCTGGGTTTATCTTCTTAAATATATGTAGGTGTTTGCATACCTTACAGTGTTAATATTGTGTGGCACTCTTGAGAGGACCCCATGACACCCCAGTTGAGAATCACTTGTCTATCCTGGATGAAAATATCCTTTCACCAAACTCGGTCTGAAATGTATATTTTGAGCAAAATCTGACATTGAGCAAATGGCAATCAGATTTGTGTTTCAGTGAGAAGACTTCCAAATGTGCAAGGAACCCCAGAGTTCAGTGGGAAAAGAGAAGAAACACAGGAGCCCAACACCAATGCCCAGGCTCCTGGAGTGGTCAGGCTGCCCCAGTGTGCTGTCAAAGGACTAGGATGATTTACACACTACAGGGAAGGTTTGGCCCATTCTTCAAATATTTTGACAATCTGCTATTTGGGTTTTGTACCTGTACTATGATATAAAAATGATAAGTGAGCTGATTGCTAAATAGATCAAGATCCTGCGGCAGTAAGAGATGACAAACCAGGCGCCACTGCAGTCAACTTTTCTGCTGGATTTCTCTAGGTTTTAGCATTACTTCAACTATGGTTTCTCTTTCTCCTCTCTAATAGATGCCAAGTCCTGAATAGTCCCATATTCCTCTGTCTCTCCATCCCTTGGAGAATCCACATTACAATAGCTCTCCCAGCCTTGGAGGAGTAGTGTTGGACCTCAATACCACTAGAGGCTTCGACCACCAGCGGCTGCAGTTCCACGCAGTACGCTCCTCCTTATGGTCATCCCTTTGGGGAGACCCTGTGCATGTATTTGGCCCCACTGCTCTCTCTTGAGTGGGATGTCAGTGCTTGTCAGATCATTTCACAGTGTGATGGCTGGCTTGGAAAGAGCATGCAAGCCTTTGTGCTACTCACAGCTCAGAGAGATTCTCCCTTTAACCCATATAGTTTGGGCATGTAAGTGTGCTGAATTCCCTCCTTGCACTCTTAACCAAAGGCCACAACACCTGAATATATGGCTGCTGCTTTGTTGCCACATGTCTGGACCCAAGCTCAAATCCCCAGCACAGCAAGCACTGTGCTGGCCTCAGTCGGCTCTCTCTTGTAATAATCTACCACTCAAAAAAATGAGCCTCTTTGCATGGGATGGAGAAGCACTCTCATCTAGGGACCTTTGAACCCAGAGAGCAAGAAACCTTCAAATGTAAGGAAAGAGTCACTGTTTTCACTAAATGTGACACTTAGCATTAGTCCCATACCAGGAACTTCCAAAATCAACAGGCATTAATGCTGACCTATCTATCACAGCTTCTTCATGCTTTGGCCTATAAACCGACTTGCATGAGATCAAATGCCTTTAATTGTATTCTTGCAGCCCATATTCTGAGACCTGCAGGGCAGAGCTGATGGGTTGCAGGTTCCCCCAAGGGCTGTCCATCCTGTACATCAAAGAAACAAAACCACCACTCTAAGGTACAGTTTGAAGATTTCCACCATGGCAGTCTCTATTTCTGTTTGTCACACTTGGACTACCCACCTATATATTGTATCATCCTGAAGATCCAGGGATGTCAAATACAGATCAATAAATGCGATACTGGCACAAAAATCTTCTAAGACCACAGTATCAGTATGCTGTAACGTCTTTTTAAAGTCGTCCACCAATTCACTGAAAGCTTTATACTCGCTGGTTTTCTAGTGTGAAAAGAGATCCCAGGAGAAAACATTGTTAGCATGGAATAGGTTTTAAGTAGTAACTTTCATTCTCCAGCTATCTCAAAGAGCTTTGTAAAAGATGATGGTTGTGCAGGGACCATGGAGACAGCTGGAACATTCATTAGGCCTCAGCAGTAACTCGCATATGGCCTTCCACCCTGGTCTCCAGTTTTGTAAACCCATCTTTGCACACCCACACAGCCAATTGCTGTGGCAACTGTAAGTTATTTTGCGTGGTTTGGAGGAATGCATGGTTCTGGGAGCACTAACAGAGGGCAAAACTAGAGGAGGGCCTGGAAACTTTTGCTTTATAAGCCATAAAAGAGAATGTTGGCCAAAATGGTGAAGTGGCACTTCATTCAGAAACATCGTAAGATATTTAATTAGGATTTGAACAACCACCAGATTCAGACACAAAATGGACTCCGTTCAGGGCTCTTCCTAAGAGACAGTGCCCATAATTGCATAGATATCGTCCCTACTAGTAATGGCAGTGGGCACTAAATTGTAAGTCAGCACTGCAAACAGTACTTCAATCAACAAGTTCCTGGCCCAAAGGCAAGAGCACTTCAAACTGAGTCACATGGACCTAATTACTTTTAAATCACAGCTGATAAAAGAGTAAGTGGAAGGGATGAAAGAGAAAGGAGGAGCATTATTCCAAACCTTCAGAGAGTGTTGGTCAAGGTCTTCAAAGAGACCTTGATAAATTGGAGGATTGGGCCAAGAGAAATCTCAGGAGGTTCAAGAAGGACAAGTGCAAAGTCCTGCACTTTGGGCAGAACAACCCCATGCGGTACAGGCTGGGGACTGACGGGCTGGGCAGCAGCTCTGCAGAAAAGGACCTGGGGATTACAGTGGACAATACGTTGAGTATGAGCCAACAGTGTGCCCTTGTTGAGAAGAAAGTTAACAGCATACTGGGCTGCTTTAGTACACGGGTAGCTAGCAGACAGAGGGAAGTGATTATTCCCCTCTATCCAGCACTGGTGAGGCCACATCTGGAGTACTGTGATCAGTTTTAGGTCCCCCACTACAGAAAGGATGTGGACAACTTGGGGAGAGTCCAGTAGAAGGCAACAAAAATGGTTCAGGGGCTGGGGCACGTGACTATTAGGAGAGGCTGAGGGAAATGGGCTTATTTAGTCTGAGGAGGGATTTAATAGGAGCCTTAACTGCAAAGTGGTTATAAGCAGGATGGGGGTAGTGTTCTCAGTGGTGGCAAAAGACAGAACAAGGAGCAACAGTTTTAAGTTGCAGCAAGGAAAATTTAGGTTAGATATTAGGGAAAAAATTCCCATGACAAGGGTAGTAAAGCACTGGAACAGGTCACCCAGCGAGGTGGTGGAAGCTCCATCCTTGGAGGTTTTTGAGACCTGGCTAGACAAATCCTTGGCTGGGATGATCTAGCTGGGGATGGTCCTGCTTTGAGCAGGGGCTTGGAATAGATGTGACCTCGTGAGACCCCTTCCTACCCTCATTTTCTATGATTCTATGAAACATTTATATTTAAGTGGTACTGACTGCACTACATTTCAAATAGCTTCATAGGAGTCCATTATGAAAAATTGTCAGGTTAAAAAAATTCTAAATCCATGAAATACAATTCAAGTCTATCACATCATCATTAGATATTGCTCAGAGACTGAGTATTTGATTTGGAAAAGGGCAGCAATCTGCTTAAGGAACTGGAAGACAGCAGATCTCAAGTCAGTCATTTTTGGAAGGTGCCCCTGACTACTACAATAGATTCTGAAATACTTCCCATGGAAGTGAACAGCAAATTCAAAGACATATATGGTTACTGCAGAATATATGTGCTGCACTGAGATGCCCCCATAATACAATGCTGAGTTACATTTAAGAATTCAGGAATGCAGACATTTTACAAAAACCAAAAAAAGAGAAATAGAAATCTTTTAGGGAAAGTGCTGTTATTATTCAGAATGTGTCCACTTTTAAGCTGCTGTTTGAAATAGAAGATTCAAAGTGGAACATGTGTGATAAACGTGCACATGCAGACATCATTATTTAGAATCATTCCCATGTATAAAATGAAAGAATCGCTCTAATTAAGCAGTGGTCCCCAACAAGAATAGACAACAATACCGAGTAAATAACACCCTGCCAGCAACATCCTCCTTTACACTCCTTGTCAACTTCCACTTCAATGTATTAATTTCCAATGGCCGCCGGCAACTTTAGGAGGTCTCCAAGGCAACCTGGGGACTTCTGCTATAAGCAATGGCAATCAGGAGCCTTAGCTTGGATTACTTCAAAAGGGGAAAAGCTTGAGATTAGTTTGGATAAGTAAAAGAAACATAGCATGCTATGATGCAAGTGATTGCAAAGGACACTACACCTTACATATGTTCCAAATACTCATGATAACAGGCAAGCTTATAGAAACGGCATTCTGCGCATCTACCTGCTGGTGCATTAACTTGTTCACTTCTTCTTGTTGTCTCTTTAATATGGCCTGTTTTTTGGCCTGAAGAGCAGCCTGCATTTCTGCTTTACACTCCCACTTGTAATTTTGAGTCGAGTCCTATAAAATGAAGGCCAAATGGTTTAAGGGCAGAGGAACACGGTGGCACAACTCAAGAGACTCTGTCCTCTATGTCCATTTAAATCCAGCCCATATTGGTAGCAACAAAACTGTTACTTGTGATGAGTTGGACAGAGAAAGCCCAGTAAGTTTTTCACCCCAGAGATGGTGCCCTTACTAGCAGTCCCACCATGGAGGCTGTAGGGATAATATACTGGAGCGATGATGTCTACCTTAGTATCCTGTCTCTGGCAGTGACCCTGTAACAGATAGTCCCGAAGCAGCTCAAAGCCCCATCGTGGGCTGGCCTCGATTCAGAGGGCACATCCACACTGCTACATACAGCTACGACCCAAACCTGCCAACCGTCCACACTAAAAGTCCCTTAGCTGTCCCCAGCAGCTCTCTTTAGTATCACAGCCCAAGGCTGACCTTCTACCTAGCATCCCGCTATGTGCAGCGAGTGTTCACAACTCACCTGCTTGCTGTAGGTCACAAACCCGGGAGTCAGCCAGCACATAACATTTGGCCTTCCTGTCCCCCACTTCTGGTCTCTACTTCTGGTAGAGGCAAGGAGTAGGCAGACTGATTCCTTGGAAGGACTCTGCTTGATGAACAAGAGCTTTGCTCTGTGTCTGGCATTCAGGTAAAGTGTGGATGGGATGGATGGCCAAGCCTGGTTCAGACTAGAGTGACCCTTGTGGCCATCCCAAATAGCAGTGCAGACCCCACTTGAGGGGCCGCCTTTTAAAGTGTAGCATGTGAGTCTTCAGGCAAACCTGCTTTACTCTTTGACATGGCAGGTATTGGCAGCCGATTGTACCAAACAGGAGAGTTGTAACAGCTGGGGGAAGGCAGAGACCTTCTGGATGGCTCCATCTGTCCACATGTGACAGACCAAGGCCAGAAGTGAAGGGTATTGCATACATGGACAGGACAACGTCCCCACTTTTCCCCTCCTAGGTTTGCTCCCTTCAGCTTTGAGGAAACTTAGTAGGGCTATGAGGAATATAAACCATTTACATTCAGTGGCCAAAGGGCTTCAGTCTCTAGTAAACTATCATATTTGCCAGGGTATAAGACATGTTTTCTTCCTCCTGAAAAAGGAGATCTATAAAGAAGGTGCATATCAAAATACTGGACATCACTGCACAGAAATGCAATCAAATTTATGTTAACCGTCTGTGACACCCCTCCCCTCAACAACTCGACCCTTCTTTTTTTCCTTTTTGAAGGTTCTTCTTATGCATCCAAAAATACAGTAAGGATCCAATATCCATAAAGTCACTTTGGGCAAGCAACTAAAGGCGAGTTTTCAGGTTAAAGGACCTGCAGCAAGAGGTTTTTTTTGAAAGAAAGTAAGAAACCTCCAGCTTACCTGGATATTGATAATGACCACACCGATAAACATATTGAAAAACACAAAGAAGCCCAGCAAGATGAAGACTATGGTGAACGCTCGGCTGGCAGTAAAACCGTGCTCCTCCAAGCTGCTCTGCAAGTCCGTCCAGCCGTCGACCTGCAAATGTATTTAAGCAGATCAAACAGCGAGTTCCAAACCACAGTATTACTCAGAGACTGCAGTAAATCCCTTTCTCTTTTTTTTAACTGAACAGTTTCCTCAGTTGCCTGCAGTTCCAGGCTTAAATCCGCTGCTAAGGAGCCCATCGCTCAGGAGATTTTTCCCCTCTGAATTTTCAATGCCAGGAAAAAAAAAAAACCCATCAAACTGAATTTTCTCAACTCTCTGAAATTAAATAAAACCAGAGAGCAGCTTGCATGGTCTTTAATGCTGGGAATAATCACCATTTAATTAACTAGCTTCCTAACTGCCTCCTCCCAAAATCAGGGGCAACGGCTACGATGTTACAGGCGGGCATAGAAGAGAAAGCCCTGCAGAAATTACCGTGACTAAACTGAAGAGTGTGAAAAGTGCAGATGCAAGGTTGCCCCAATTTTCTATGTCTCCACTGTCGGGGTCTCCATACAAACCGTGGCCCAAAATGGCAAAGATAAACATTAACAGGAACAGCAGAATAAGGACATAGATCACAGTCTTCATAGTCTGGCCTAGAGCTGTCATCAAATTCTGCAAGACAGAAAAACAAGTGTGCGCAGTTTCGTCTGGAGACAAGCAGCCCTAAATAAAAGAAAATACTCGCTGGAATTCAAGCCGCGGCAGGCAACGGGGTGGCTGGTTCAGCAGGTGGCTCTCTTCCCACTGAGCATGTCTGAACTGGCTGTGAGTGCTGCTCTTGGGGACAGCCCTGGCTCTGCCAAATGGAAGACAGTAAAGCCAGATCGTGCGGGGCCACTCAAGACAACGGCAAATGCAGATCTTCTTCTCAGCTGAAAGACGGTCCTGTCTTCCTGTCAGCAGTCAGGACGCTTTGTCTAGTGATAAGAGTACAGGGCTGCAACTCTAGGGTTATCCATTCTGCTCCCCACTCCGTCACTGACTGCGTAACAGACTCTGCTTCATTTTCCCCACTACGCATGAAAACGAGGCAGTCGAGATCTGTATTTATTCAAGTTTAAAAGTGGCCCTGGGATGCAAGGAACTAGAGGAGGGAAGAGCATCATTCACGATGATCGCAAGACTCTGGACGCTACTGCATCAATATGACATGACTCTTCTTCCTAAGCTGAAGACCTCTGGTCTTCTAGCTGATGGCAGTACATCTCAAAATGCATTGACTGTCAGTCTTGACATTGCCATTGTTAATCAAGAGGACTTATCCTGTGAGACAGGACAGATCTGTGAACAGTTGGAAAGATGACAAGTTAAGGAGCTGTGGCTTTGTAAAACCACCAAGTCCACTCCATCTGTTTAAAAGGAACACCTTTAAAACAGGTCATTTTTATTCACATCCACTTGAATTACCTTGGGAGCTCACAGCTGCAGGATAAGGAGCAAGGGATTCGGCTCATAAAGGATAAAATGCTTCAGAAGATGACCTTTTGTATTAAATTAGCTGGATACAAATTACACAAACTATCAATCCTTGTGTTTCAATTGCACAGTCTAATCATGAGCTGGAGTCAGGAAGAAATTTCTACCCCCATCGTTGTTGGATGGTTGTCTAGACACATGCAATATTGTTTAATAAGAGACAGGATGTGGGATGGGGCATTGTCTTTCTTTTCCACCAAGGTAACTCTGACTTGCATACTGAGAAAAAGCACTATAAAGCATGGGTTCACTAGGAAGGAACTCAAGCCAACCTCAGAGACCAAATGAACCCTTGCAAAGTCCGAAATACAGCATCAGTACATAAGACACCCTTAGGACTTGATGGGAGTACTGGTTTGGGAATAGAGCTTAAGCCAGACCATTGGTAATGGATCTCTGCCAAATTGCAAACATTTCTATTAACTCCAAATTATAGAAGACTGCATACAGCCTTTGCATCAATGTTATATTACTCCAGGGACTGACTAAAGAATGGGCTGGCTGCCTTCTCCTGATTACAATAAGTGTGCTAATGCCAGAGGGTCTCTTATGCAGCACACCAGTTCAGGGACTATCCATGTATCATTTCCCCTTTGGATAAGGTCTCCAACTGTCGACAGCATCTCAAGTTCAAGCTCCAGAAACCACCAGGTTGATCTGTTCCGATGGCGCTTCCTGGTTAAGAGGTTTGCGCAGAGCTTACATAAGACACTTTCCAATCTCTCCTGCTTGCCAAGAAGTTGATCTTGTTATGGTGGATTAAAGATTCCCCCAGCAATCACGTGAATACTGTAGTTCCCTGCTTTCTAAACTCCCGTCTATTCTAGGAAACACACCCACATCAGGAACCTCAGCCAATTTCTCCAGGTGTTCCCATTAGCCACTAAGCCTCAGCTCCACCTTATCTGGATTGAGTTGCAGGCAGCAAGCCTCCATCGAGGTCAGACGCTGGAGTTTCTACTACCTTCCTCATCCCACAACAGGGCAGTGTCCACTCTTGCTATTTTACCCTAATATTTCCAATTGTGGCAGCTCCGCAGGCCCTGCCCATGCAAACACTGGGGTTCTTCTCTTGCTCTCTACTGGGTGGAGCATCCGCCCTCTTAAATGCATCTGAACATGTAACATCCAGGTGCAACACTACCTAGAAGCTGTGAGCCCTTCACTACAAGCATGAAAGCTTCATAGAGCTGATGATACCAAAAATGAATGTTGACATTTCAGAGACAGGTACAGTGCTTTTAAGGCAACCACCCCAGTGACCTTCACCTTTGGACTATGCAATCTTATCAACCACCTTTTATTCTGCAGGCCATGTCTAGGAGTGGACAGGGAGAACAAAAGCCATTTATACAAAAACCACATGACATTTTTGCCAAGTTATGTAATGGTCCCCAGCAAATGTGGGTCGTGCACATGCTCATAAAGGCAAACAACCACCCAGAGCTGAAGGCAACAGGAGAGCTATAAAATGCTCAGAGTCACTGCAGCCCAGCAAGTGCCCTTTGTATAGTAGCATCAAATCATTTTGAGTTTCCACGGCACATCTTGACATTCCTGTACACTTTCAGAAACCTAGAGCAGGTCCTATGTGCTTCTATTAAGAAGGAGCTTTGTGGCTTATGGTCTTCATAGGCTGTAAACTATGTCGAAATTAATCCCAAATACATTTTAAAAAAAAGCAGAAAAGTTGATTTTTAGAACAACCTGGCATTTTTAACGTTTATTTTCACATTGAAATAAAGATGAATGGAGCCTACACTAAAGCTGGGATCCCAGCTAACAGAACTTCTCTGTATGGAGTACAACAAGGAAATTATTTCCTCAAGGTGGAAATTTATTGCACCAAGGTGGAAGGCAAGAGTGTTTTAAAGAGTTTTTTAATTAATAAAGGGAAGTGTGCCAAGAATGTGTTGCATGCTTGAGCTTTCAGTGTTAAATACAGCTAACCTGTTAAGGGCTAATTGAGACTTCAATTAATAAATTATAATACATGTCCAGATATAAACAAACCCCTGCACCTTTAGTGAAGCTCCACTGGGCAGCTTGCAGCATGGTTTCCAAAGGTGAGTTTTATTGAAGAGTTGCTTTTGCTACGCACACGGGACCGGCTCATAGTGACTGTCCACTAAAACTCATGTTCTGTCCCCACTAGGGCTGGTACCAAGAGCTTCAGAGGAGGGTGAAAGAAAAATCCCAGAAGATGACTGCAGGCTAATAGCTTCATATAAGACATTTCTGACTGCTTTGGAATAGGACTGGTCAATCTCTGGTCAGAAACATGAGACTGTATATCCCTCATCTATCTGATATAAGTCTGGATCCTAATATTCAAGACTAACCCTATCCAAAGTCACCTAAATCTTTCTGGCACAAAGTCCCATAAACATTTGACACAGTCAGATTTTCTCCTCCTGAAGTTGCAGGGGTGTTCAGTAGGATTGTCCAAGCTCCTTGGGGAAAATGAGCTATCGGTTCAGTGTGGTTTTAAAAATCCTTTTATCATGGATAAATGACAGCCCATATTGTCGTGTGCCCCTACCCTATTAGCATCAGAGAGCATGGACAAAATAATGTGACTTGACTTCTCTAAACTGTTCATTAATGTATCTACCTCTATTGTATCCCCGCTTCCGGCTACACTGAATAATTAACATATAAAGTCTGGTGATAAGTGAACTTTACAATCGCAACTAGAGGAACGAAGCCTCAGAAGTGAACGTTATAAGAGCCTTGTGCCTATAAACATCCCACTTCTGGTAAGCTACCCAACCAATTAATTACATGCAGAAACCCAGGCTGAGCATTCACTGCCCACATTAGCTCCCTCCTTAAAAAATAAACCTCCAGGGTTGTCAGAAGAAAACTAAATCAGAGACGGTGCGTGTGGGAGAAAAACACACACAGACTAAAATAGTACGTGTGACCTATTTTTTTATAGCTCGATTTTTTTTTTTCCATCCACACCACTGTGGTAAAATGAATGAAATCAAAGGAAATCTCCCCTGGACACAAGAGAAGCAGAAAGCAAACCATGCTCAAGCTGTGAGGCTTTTTAAAACTCAAAACTCAACCATATTTCTCAAGCCCTCACTATTTTCGACAACCCCTGAGATCACAACAGAAGGCCTCTTGCCACATCTTGCACACTGCAAAGACCCCTGCTATCTCTGTGGCCTGGCACAAATCGTCACCCCTAAAGGGGTGACTTATATTTGCAAAAAATACAACGCAACCTGTGATCGCTCAAGGGACTAACAAAACCTGCTGGCTTTACATAGGCGGTTTCCTAATAAATTGAGGGGAGAATCGGGCTCAGTTCTCATGGAGCCATTCTGGGTGGCTTCTCTAGACAGGTAGCTACCACATAAGGGTGGTCCGGCCAGGCGTTGCTACAGTTTTCCTGACCGTCCAGATGCCGGTCCCTCGGCAGAGAATCAAAGGAGCATGTCTTCTCCGGTGGGCAGCATGCAAATGGCAGCCAGGCCCATGCTGTTTTCTTTGGAAACAGCCTCAGTCCAGGAGTTGGAAACTTCTGCCCAATAATTCAGCAGTACCGCAAGCCAGGACATGCAATGGGCATGTCGCGGAGGCCTTGCCATACACAAAGCAAAAACCCAGATGTGGTCCCGTGACTGTCATGGCGTGTGTGGGCAGTGGTATTCGGATATGTTGGTTTCCAAGGGGCTGCCCCAATGCTTGTTTGCCCCCCAAACCCCCAACCACCACCATAATATGCTACTGGGTGAGGAGCTGCGCCTCCTGTAGCAAAACTCCCATCTGCTCCAGTCTGCTCAATCCCTGCTCGCAATAGCCTCCTGGCACAGAGCAGCCTGGCTCCTATGTCTGTGCTGGGCTGCACCTGCTGTAACAAAGACTCCCACGGGAGGTCATTCGGGTGCCCCCTGCGACAGCGGGGGAGCACTAGGTTTGTTCCTGAGCTGCAGCAGTGGCGAGAGCTGGGGCAGCCTCCAGCGGTTGCGATGCACCCAGGGCACTGCAGGAGCTCGCTATGCCTCTGGGCGAAGCAGCCTCAGTTACAGCAGGATGAGCAGGTATAATACAGCACGTAGCATAGATGGCTGCAGTGTAGCTCACCACACAGCAATACCCATTCCCCGAAGCCTGCATCAGTCAGGAAGGTGATGTAGCTACGCCTACCAAAAGGTCCTCTCAGCAGATGCAGCATCTCCAGTCGAGGGCTTTGCCAACATGACTATGCCAGCAAAGAGAACTGGGGTATCATTATGTATCACAGCAACCTGCAGTACTGCTCTGGGCCTTGCTCTTGGACATTCGCAGCACTACACCCTACCAGGCCAGGCACCAGAGTCGCTCCCGCACTGGGAAAACATCCCGGTTTGGCAACAGGTACCAATCAGCAAGGGTGGCCACTCAACTGACGCTAGACACAGTTGAACAGTGTGAGTAGCCCAAGATGATACCCTGTGCTTATCCATGTTCAGGGATGGGTCAGAAGCAGGAATTAAAAAGGGCAAAGTTTAGAGTGTGACAAATCAGAGAGCTCTTCCTATGCCGTCCCCTCATTGGAGATGCTTGGTAAGATGATTAAAGTCACCCAAGTGGGACCAAAAGGTTGGAAAACAGAAGCTTACTGGAGCAAGGGAAGGACATTGCAGCAGCCTAGACATAAAAACCTGAGCGTTTTCACTGTTACCATCATTCCTCGGCTGTAGTTGATGAGCTTCAGAATCCGGAGCACCTGGAAACCTTTGAGCGTGCTCCAGGTCCAGTAGTATTTGCTGTTATTTTTGTTGATTGTGTATGGGAGGTAAGCAAGGAGGAGAATGATAGCATTGAGTATGTTGTAGCCGCTCCTCCAGAAATTCAGGGGGTCCATATAAAACAGTATCAAAAACTCTGTGGTATAGATAGCCAGAATGATCACATCTGCCAGCTGAAAAGGAAACGGTACACATTCAGAGCATGTCTTTGCTTGGCTTTTGGGAAGGCTGGTCGCTGTATCTCTTGTATAAGAATCACCTAAGGTGTGATGCTCTTCTCACGAACATAACTAATATCTGGTCACTTCAGACCGGATCCCCATTAACCTTGCAGACACCTAAGTAAATGTGAGGTGCATCTTCCGCGGTTCTGTGTTGCACTCAAGGCTGCTCCTGAAAAGTAAGCCTTACCAATGCATGCCCACTCTGCGTACCTCAAGCCCGGAAATATAGGGTCGGGTCAGCCACCCAACCCTGGGGCTTGCTGTAGGGTCAGCCACCCAACTTCTGCTCTCATCTCAAAATGAGTATCCTGGATCCTTGCCCCCTGCTCAATTCTGGGCAGTCTCATTTGTTGCATAGGAAGCCTGGGTGGCTAAACATTAGCCATTGCAACACCTAAAGGGAGGCACCTACAAAGTGAAGTTGGAATTGGCCCTTAGCCCTTCCTCCCACTGAGCAAATGCGCTATGAGGAGTTGTCCTGTAACATTGGCAGGGCAGCGTGGCAGCTTACAGACAACCTGGTTCATAAGCAAAAGCCTCTGTGAATCAGTGAGTCCCTATGGTGCCACCTTGCCCACCTTCTGCCTGACTTCAGACTAATGCTGGTAAGTACTGCTGTGCCTTGTAGCATTGTGACATTCATTCAAATCTGAAAGCTTGTCATCATGGAAATGGGGGGTGGGCATAGTCCTTTAATTCCCTCCCAGTAGACTTTGTTACACATTGCCAGAGGCCACCCTAAATCATTCTTTACCCTGCGTGCCCCCCTAGATAATGGTTCCCATGACTAACACTTCCACTTTTCCAGGACAATAAGGACATGGACATTTGCCACAGTTACAATTACCACTGCAACTAGAGCGAGCAGCAAATGCTAAAGCCCAGTAAATATTTCTGTAGCCCTGCTTCTGTAGCCTATGAAGATCTCCCCAGTCTCACAAGTGGGGACATGAAATGCAAGAAGAATGTAACCTCCCTTATATTCACCGGTTCCTTACCTCCAAAAATGTATGAGATTGAAACCTAATATTATAATCAGTCTCCATAGTTATGAATAGTGCATTGACCAAGACGGTGCTAATCATGATGACTCTGATCATGGGATTCTGCAGCAATTTGGATAAATACGCACAAAATTCTGCATCATGTCTCCTACCAAAAAAGAGGCAATAAAAGACAATAGAAATGACAACGATTTCTAGGCCCATCAGGAGTTCAGCAAGTGGTGGGGCAGTTCTGCCTTCAGAAGAACAGGATCAGCACCTGGTGGGTTCAGCCACCTTTCAATGTCCCATCATTGATTGGAATGAGCAAATCCTGTATTCTGAATAGGCCATGGGAAAACTGCAGATTGGGTAAAAATGAGCCCAAATGGTGCATCTGATTCAAACACTCCTACACAGGGGAAGAGCTAAATGTTGCCACTCAGGACCACATCTCAGTCTTTTCATGACAATAAGGGTAACTTTTATGTAATGAAATGGTGCAAGCACTGGTGTCTTTATAGCAATTTCCTTGTATTTTATTGAGGACTTTCCATAAGTTAGTTTTAAAACATGCTAATAAAATATGAAACCTCCAGTTTTTCAAGGGGTTGGCTCTCACTGAAAGAGTGTCTGAAACTGGGGCTGCCTGAACTGAAATATTACATCAACTGGGACAAGGAAGAAATCAGAGAGGAGGAGGCAGAGCAGAAGTAGAGGAAAAAGGCCTGGCCACACTTGTTTCACTGAACCAACAGAAAGGACTGATGGGAGGGGCAGAGAGTTTCAGATAGTTACTGCAGTAATAGGTTTTCACGGGTTTCTGCATGAAGAGAGTTCTGTAAGGATTTCTTTTGTGGGAAGTTGATATATGTTGCTTAAGGGTTTAATGGGCATAGTATGTTTTTGGGTACATCGTTGTTTTTGCAATATGAAAGTTTGGTAAATCAAGGATGCTCAGTATGTGAAGCTGTGCAAGTGTGGGTATGATGAGCGTGTGTTTTAAAAACATTTGTAAAAGGTTCCCATCAACATTTCTGGCACCACGGGAGGGTGTTAGAGCTTGCTCCAACCTCTCCAAGTGCCCGCCCGGTATTGCGGTACAGTGCTTGCTCCCACTTGCAGGAAAAGCGGCTTGGTTTTTTTTAAGGGCCACGCAAAAAAAGAAAGAACAAAAGTTCCCATCAGTATGTTTGCCCCATATGTGCTATGTACTTTATAGCCATGTTCAGTATTGGCTACATTTAATGAACTTTATAGTTGGTTTCCATTGCTAAGCTTTTAGCAGCAGTTCAAAGACAGACAATGTATTTAATGAGGTTTCCATGTATGCAAATTTAAAATGAGGAGCTCCCCCTCCCCCATGTTGATTGGAGGGCAAAACTTCATCCTGTATTTTAGTAAATACAGTAGTACATTATTGCAGGTTTGGTTGTGTCTTTAAATTCCAATAAGTTCATTGAGTCCAATCCAAATCCCATTGAATTCTATGGAGGGAAACCCACCAACTCCAGTGATCCCTGGATCAGGTCCATTTGAAGTAGATTAAATAGTTCAATGATGAATATACAACTCAAACCAGATACGAGTATTTGACTGATTCCAGTCAAACAGGACAAGCCAAATAACTTTCAAAGAGGAATCCCCTCAGAGAAAGAAACCAATATTTTTATTTTACAGTTTTCCTCATTAGTACTCGCACCATCCTAAGTGCTGAGTTGGGGAAATCATTTGAAAGGCAAATAAGGCAAAAAGCATCCAGTGCTTCATTTAAATGCATATTCAAGGACAGTCTATCTTGTTAAAATTTTGCAGCGGTCGTCATTGGAAGTTATCTAAACATACAGTATAAAAATCCTCACCCTTCAATTTAAAACAAACATTGACCACATTCATTGCTCCAGTGACATCAACATTACCTACAAGATAAATCTGGCTGCCTTAATTAAAACTGAAATCATCCATTTCTGATACTGGTACTTACTTAAATAGCGCAAACAGCGTGTGTTTCACTTTGACCTCAGATGTGGACTTAAAAGTTTCAACAGGCAACCTGAGGGCAAGTCCCCTCTTATGAAAAGATTCTGTGATCTCCATGGTCAGACTTGTAGATTTTTGTTTTCTCAAGTTAAGCTGTCTAGGAGGTCGTCCAGTTTCCTCTTAAGCAACTAAGAGGGCCCGAGACGGAGGGAATGGAAAGGGAACGCTGTACTGGAAAGGGATGGAACGGGCTGGATTGCTTTATTGTGACATCACTACTTCGGAGCACACAGCCGGGTGTTGATGCGAGACCCAGAAGCAGCCGAGACAAAGCGCTTGACGAAGAAAAGCTATTAAGAAAAAAGACATTACAGCTAGGTAGCAATCATCATTTATTATTCACCAAATATACCAAACTGGATTAACATTAACATTAAGTGGCCTAGGTACAAAATGTGGCTTTTGTTGAAAGGTATATACAAACCTAAATATTAATAGAAATGTTTTTAAGCCAGCAAAATGTCCTTGTTTCAATTTAAAGAGATTTACCCAAGGGCAAGTTAAGCTGGAAGCATCAGTTTTGTGCCTCGGGTCCGGTCTCTTAAGGTCATGTGATTTTTAAGGAAGACTGAAATGGTGCAATAAAGAAAAAAAGCTCATAACCCCATGGGCATAGCAAAAGTGAGCCCAATGACCCTGCGGGCAGCCTGAAATAATCACTCTCTGGGATATAAACTTGCCCAGGCATCTCCATAGGGTGTTAGCTCCAAAGACCCGCTGTACGGCAAGACTGAATCAATACCTCGCCCAGCACAGAACTGTTCAACATGAGGTGGGGATTAAAAAAGGCATTGATGGTCCATATACCCAAGCAGAGGTAAGTTGAGCTGAAGGATGTACCCTGGCGTGCCTGTTGCCACCTGTTACTCTCTAGGAGGGAAGGGCACGTCTGCAGCCATCCGTGAGAGGAGGCCCCTTCTTACCTAGGCAAGGACAGAAT